TATATATATATATATATATATATATAAAGTCATAGAGTAGTCTATTATTTTCTATTGTAGTAGTATTCCATTCTACAAAAAATAAGTAAAAAGGCTAAAGAGTGTGAGTTAGCTGAAAACTTACCAAACCACTCCCAAACATAAAAAGTTCAAAGACAAAAATGGATGGCCAAATGATTCCCAAAATAAAGTTGTGTTCAAGGAAAGACGTATGTCTAAATTGCCTCATGCTGGGTCAAAAGAGTTCATGAACACGTTTAATGTACATCACAAAATGTGAATTTACAAGTGAATGAATTTTTGTTTTAAGGATACAATAAGGTCAGCATCTCTCATGAATGCCCGATCTCTTCTTGGAACATTGGCTACTTATTATTATAGATAGGGGAAAACTAGAGAGACAATCATAGAGTTTCACTCATTGAGGTTTATATCCTGCTTGGCGGTCCATGATTGTCCTGATTCCAGTGTTACCTGTCCAATCTGAATCAAGAAGAGTGAACGCCAGTGAGAGGACAAACAATTCCTCCACTTACAAAAATATTCAATTAGGAACTCCATACCTTAGCATTCTCAACACAAACAAAATCACGGTAGCAAGATTCCATCTGTGTGTAAGGGTTCCACAAAACTGCATCTGTCCAGCTGCACGGCTAAAGGGGGTTATGAGTTGAACTTTGAAAAAAGAAATATCTCATCATATGTAAATTAAACGGCAGAAATAAAGGGGAAAACAGTATGCAGAACAGAGTATCAAGTAGAAAATTTAGTGAAAGGAATTACAGGGGCAATGATAGTACATACTTTTGGTTTCTTATGGATATAATATCTCCTAATCCATTGTTGAGGTGTAGCTCTTCCGGTGCATCAAGGTAAATGCAATCAACAAAGCCTGGAAAAGTGATAACTTCCCTGTTTCAGGAGACATAGGTTCAGAAGGGCAGAAACTATATTTGCCTGTTCTGTCCATCACTTCTTTTATGTAAAATAAAATTCATTTTAATAAAAAATGACACATGGTAGCACATAAGACCTAAAAACTAGCTAAATTATCTGGAAAAATTTTAATTGATTGTTTTATTTGTGCGGTGTTTACCTAAACCACGATTTTTTTTTTTTGATAAAGTTAACCTAGACCACGATGTTTGTTGATGCAGCAATTCGCATTTCACTCTATTTTAACCAAGCATTTACGATTCTAATTAAAGCTACAAAACATGAACAATGCATAGATTCAGATGGACAGGTCTCAAAAAGTACCTCTTTTCCCATTCAAAAAAAAAAAGGTACCTCTCTTCCGTTTTCTCAATGGGATTTGAAGGATCAGGATCCTTGTTTAGTGTCTTGCAACCTTTGAGACCTTTGACTGATACCGCTGATATGAAGCCCTACACAGCAATATAATGCCCAAAATATGGGCTTCGGCTATTATAGTTGATAATTCCCTTTCTTTAACAGGGCTAGCAGATCCTAGGCAGTCTACTAGTAAGAAAAATCTCAAATCTAAGATTGAATAAATCATTAAATTCAGAACTAGATGGCTAAAATCTTTAAGGAAAAAGAAAATCCTACACGAAAGTATGTATGCAGTGCACTGTTGAAGGAGAATGGTTTGCTGTCTGTGTTTGTGATGACTAGTTCTGTTGAAAGACTCTTAGAATTCAGTGCAACCTGCAAAAAGTCGTCGATGAATGATTCTATTGAGACTTCAATGGAATTCTAAACGAAACTTATGAACAAGAGGAAATATTGGAAGAATAAGTGCATCCTCATTTAAGGTCAGGATGACTATAAAGCAAGCCATTAAGTAATCAAAATCAGAAAAATCCAATTGAACACCATCAGAATTTACAGTTAAAAACTAGTAGGAATGAAATTACCTTGTATGAAGCTAGAAATGCAAAATTCCACATTGATCGACTGTATGGATCATCCTTGAGTTCTAATGTTAAAACTGGATTGCCTTCAACATTTTCGGACTTGGCGACAGACCATGTCATGTTTCTTGCAAATCCATGCTGTAAAGAAACAAGCACAATCAACCTTAAATTTCTACAGCAGAAACATGCTTTGAGTGGCATCTAATTAAACTCACTGTTTTGGGGAAGAATGATCAACTGCCAAGGACAAAACTGATTATACTTCCATGGAAAGATAAACAGGAGATTTTACATATCAGAAAGACCAGTATTGTTTCCAATCACCAAAAGAAAAATCATTTTCTAACATTCAGGAGGTAAATCAGTTCAAGAAATTATTATTTTTTCTTTAACCATTATTTTATATATTTTTTAAACTATTCTCCTAGGTTGAAGAAATCCCCTTTCAAATAAAAGAAACACGGAATGGGACTTTCCAAACATTTGCATAAAACTAAATTCCTCCATTGCACTTAAGAGAATGAGAAATGTCTCACAACTGGGAAAGAAATGTTTTATCAGCATGAAAAGCAAGTACAGAAAACAACGCTTGCTGATGAACAAATGACAGACTCTGAACTAGTCAAAATAGGCTGATACAAGGCCAGATCGAGTATGAACCCTTTTAACATGTTGCATTTGGTCACACAACTCACACCAAGTAGTTTACGAAGTGTTAAATTTGATAACATTCCCCAACTGCAGGATACCAAAGTCATATTAATGCAACTAAATTCTCACGTTTCTTGTTCAATTGACTACAAATTCTTATAATAGAGACTCAATATAAAACACATGATGAAATCAAACCTCCTACCAAATCTCGAATTTTTAACTGCTCTAAACCACTTTCATTTAAGTACTTGAGAAGTTCAGACTCTTCATTGAGCATAAGCTTGCCCATCCACAAACTAACTTCCCATGTAAAATGTTAGTTAGCAAACATTATGGGCATACATGCAATTTAACGTCTGACTCTATATTACTTTCTCCTCAGTAACTGTCATCTTTAACTCCCAAAACAAAGGAGTATCAGTCATAAAAGCAAACAAACACAAGCTTGGCAAGAAAACAGAAAATTTATAGTTGTGGAACTGGGAAGCTTCACGTGCTAATCATAAAAGCATAAAACTCTTGGGTAGGTAACACCAAACCTGTTGCATGGAACCGGGTCCAAATTGAGGAAAACAATGTGGGATGCCTCCACTATTTCAAGTGAAAAAAAAAAGAAAAAGAAAAAGATATCAGAAACCAAGCAATATTCAAACCACCATAGAAATAAAATAGCAACTCCAATTTACCAATATATGCAAACAAACTTGTTCCATGCTCTCTCACTCAACTCATGTAAGGATATTCTATAGAAGTTCTCTTTTGCTGAACGGTGATATGTATTTTAGCAAAAAATTATCTCAATTAACTAAATTCCACATATAACCCGCATGTTTTCAGTGCTCCTAGAGGCATAGAGCTGCTGGTAGAGATGAAGTATGATATATTTTACATGTGCCTGCTTGTTCATTTCATGTTGACAACTAAAATTAAGCCCCAAAATATGTCATGATTCATATTTTTCATACCAAGTACAAGAATTAACAGAAAAAAAATTGCCACACTCAAGCTCCATGTAGGAATCGTCAAAGTGAAATTAGGTTTGCATATAAGAATACACCTGATGTTGCGATGTTGCAGATGTTATGGGTCATTTACTGAGAGTTTGACCAGTCTGCATAAACTTCTTTAACATATAATACCCCTTTAAATAGCTAAAGCTAAGGCTGACTTTCTGAAAATAAATCACAATATATGGTTTCAACATAATTTTGATGCATTTGGCATGATAAAACTGATCATTAACCACTCAGAAATAAATTTATGTACTACAGGAGCCAAAATAGAAACAAGAAAAGAATGAATGACAGAAGGGAAACTTCAGTACCAAAGGAGAGGATCGCATGGCTTCAACAAGAAAAGAAAACAAAGATCTACATTGGGACGTCAAAAATACTTAAGATTACACCAGAAAAATCTTTGTTTATCCACACTCAACTTTGTATGTTTAAGAACATAAAACAAGGGAAAATTATGTAAACCCCCACACAACAAACTTTATACACATAGGCCCCTCTATAAGTTTTCTATTAACACCATCAACGTGTTTTCTGTTTTATTTGGCATCCAACCCCTAGAGAGAGAAATGTGGTAGTTTCGGACAAAATGTCCTCACAGCAAAAAATACCCTTATAGCCACATTTCTAAATTTTGTTAGACGACCAGGCCGGTCCAGCTGGCACTTGAAATGGCAGACTAGCCTCATTCCTAATTTTTTTAGAGCCTGAGGCTGGTCTGATGGACACCCCCACCCCCTCCCCCAATCACCTCAAAATTTTGATCACCACACACAAAAAAGTTAGACGCCCTGGCCGGTCCAGCTGGCACTTGGAATGACAGACTAGCCTCGTTTCTAAATCTTTTAGAGCCCGAGGCCAGTCTGCTGGACCCCCCAATCACCTCAAAATTTTGATCACCACAAAAAAAAAAGAAAAAAAGAAAAAAAAGTGATAGGTTATTATTATTAATTTTTTTTTGGGGGGGGGGTTGTTATAATTTTCCTTTAAACTAATTTTGCCCTCATAGTAGCTGAATAACTATTGCTAATTTGATCAATACAGAGGTAACATAGGAATCTAGTAAAAGCCATTTCTAAATGAAATTCAATTAAAGTAGTTAATATAGCGGACATAATCAGTTAGTTATACATGAAGATAATAGCAATTGCACTAACCTGATAGGTTTTTTCCCATTGAAGACAGCATCTGGCCTGACAAAAAGAAGGTCCTTGTCATTTGCAACTTTCCAAGATGTCACGCACCCTCCAAATAAATAAACCTCAGCTTCACTGCAAGATAAAAATATTTCAGTGATATTTAGCTTCTAGAACAGAAGTCAGATGTTTTAGCCTCTTATATAATAAAGCTGAGAAATATAGACAATGGTGCTGAGGCTGCTGAGAATGAAGAAGTAAACAAATATATATATTGATTTGCCACTGATAGGATTGAAACCTGAAAGAATGGGGCTGGCCATTAACTGAAATAATCTATCTAGGAACCAACATGAGGAACAATTATGCATCATAGATTCACAGTCCCTGTTACGATCAAAGAAAATGCTTGGTCATCAAGTGTAGGAGGCGTTTTCAGAAATAGTCAACGAAGGATATGCCCATGTGTAATTCTGGTCCTCGTTGTTTCTTGAACTCTTAAAGCCTAATGTTATAAGCCATAAATTGGAACTATGCCTCTATTGTCTCATACTTTGCCCCGATAATTTGACTGCAATAACATGCTATATCTTAAAAATTTTGTTATCTTCTATGGCACTGTTGGAGGAACATTCTTGTGGAGGTGTAGAAATGCAAGAGGAGGTCTACTGTAGTTCGAAAATAGAAATAGCAAAAGCACATTGAAGCTGTCAAGAATAGTTGGAATCTGGAATGCCCTCATAAAGTACGGGTTCAACCATAAGGAAGGTTGGCTAGATAATATTATCTTCATTAGTTCTCAATTGAACCAAATACAAAAGAACAAGAAAAAAGAAAAGAAAAGAAACGAAGAAGATTATGTATAGAGTTTATACTTGACTTCATGTTTGTGCTTTCTTTATGTAGTATTTTTTTTTCTTCTTGGATGTATTATTCTAGTTCTTAATTCTTACCATTATATAGTTTCATTTTCCAATGCAGTTCTTGTCTGAGTAATCTCTTACTGAGTCCCTTGACAAAATTTCCAAAGTATTGATAGACCAAAGATTCAGTCCATTGCAATACACGTATCCATGTCAAAGTAACTATGGCATCAACTGGAATAGTGTAACAATCATGTTTGTATCTTGAAATAACAATTTCCAAGGAAGACAGATTTAAAGATATCGGAATTTTAAAATGACAATCTCCTGAGCTTCACAAAATGTCAATTCATCATCAATTCAAAGAGTTACATTAGGAAAAAGAAAAAAAAAAACAGTGAACATACTTTTTGAAAAAATGTGAGTCAAAGAACAAGAGGTGAACTTATAAGAACTCACCTACCAGAATTTGATTTTAGCAAGACCTTTGGGAGTTTGCCTTCTCCTTCTGTAAATTGAATGCCCAAGCAATTTCTTTCCTGATTAACAATAGCTACAGTGGTTCCAACAAACCTGGATAAGACAGGAAAAGTTTGCATTTTGCTAAGTCCAGATCAAACGCGCATCCATTCAAATAACACGCAGCTGGAGCCTATGTGGAGTTCAATACCCTAAGCATAGCTCAGAAGTTCGAAATGCTTGTTTTCTGATTATGAAATTAATAAAGAATCTGCATCCAAACGTCTGGTTAATGAAATTTGAAAAATGTAAAAATTCCTCAAGGGCATCATATTTACAATAATGAAAAGAAGGGCACAAAGAGTCATTCCAAGAACTGATAACGAGTCAAAATGTAGAAGGAAATAAGCCTCAGATTCATGAAGAAAATGAAAGAAAACCTTTGGTTGATTCCTTAAAACTTATAGATTAAGGAAACACACATTGAATTGCAGAGAAGATCTGTAAAATCAGAGAAAAAATTCAAAATGGATAAATGCAGAGGAATCATCGAATGGGACAATGCACTCTTTAACTCTCCAAATTTGTCAAATGCAGATAGATTAAAGAGCAAATGGATTACTAACACCATCAGGAAAAACATAGAAGTCAAGACGTGAAATAGAACAAAAATACATAGGTAAATGAATGAAAAAATGAACACTTCTGATTTTTCCAGCCATTACCAAAGCTTTACAAGAAAGTTTCGAAGCTGAAAAATGATTTTCCATACCGATTTTTACGATATCCGTAGCATGTTTTCTGATACTTTGCCACCTCAATTGTAGAATTTTGTCTTAGAAAGAAGGAAGAAGCAGAGAAAGCCATGTTTCCATGCCCTAAAACGGAAGCTGAGGATGCCATCGTTTTTCTCAGTGTCAGTGACCATGTAAGCCAAAAGAGGGCCAGGGGAGTGGAGACGAAATGCCTCATTATACGGCTAGGGGATTTTAGTACAAGGTTGAGGCCATATACAATCCAACTATGGCGCACCTCAAAAATTCATTAAAAGAAGTTATTTCGATGAAATTCATTAAAAAAAAGTTAGTTTCGAATTTTGATATGGCAGAACTGTCAATTCTGATCATCTTGACCTTCAGATAAATGAATATTAGAAAAATAAACTTCAAGTATTGGAAATAGTGCATCTTGTAATGCATTATTGAAAGTGTTAATTTTCAAGTGTTCATAGATATGTTTGATTCACACTATTTTTGAAGTTTTTAAATTTACAATTATAAGTGGAAATAAAATTTCAGACCAAGATTTTGGATATTAAAATAATATTTCGAAACGATTTAGAGGTACACCTTACTTTGAAAGTTTAGGGCCTCAATATACAAACCACGCTCCTTTTAATAGCGGGAAAGGTTTATATAGAGCCGAGGCTCTAAACAATTAAATTAGAGCCTACTTCAAAAATTTCACTAGAAGATGTTGTTTTGATGCCAAAATATCTTCAAATTGATCATCTCGACATCAAGATGCATAGACATGAGAAAAAAATAGATTTCAAGTTTTGGAAATAGTGTATCTTGTAATGGATTTTTGGACGGTCAATTTTCAAGATTTCATAGATCTGATATCTATACTATTTTTGAAGTATTAAAATTTATAAATAAAAATAAAAGTATATTTTAAAGCTATCACAAAGATTTTCAATATTAAAGTTGTATTTCTTGACATTATTTGAATGTATGCTCTAATTTGATGGTTTACAGCCTAAGCTCCATACAAATCGCACCCTTTAATAATATCAGAATTGTTCTTTCATTAGCGCCAACCGGAGATTATACCGTACACCATTGTGTATGGCTACGGTGTGTTAAAAGCAGCATCCGTGCATAGGGCGAGGTCTAGATTGCTAAAATTAAAAAAATTAAAAGAAAAAAGATAACAGAAATAAAGGCCGGGCAGGGCCGAATCGGTCTGGCTCTTTTGCCTTAGCCTAGGCTCAACAGTCAGCTTTTATAGTCTAGACCCCAATTTTTTGGGCCGGCCCGAACCGACTGGGTGTATAATGTGCTTCTTTATTTTGAAAATGGAATTGCCGTAATGGGAAGGAAGCAAAACCAACATAAGAGCTATTTCTGGTCATCGTTATCTTATTTTTGCTCAAAATTTTGGGCTGATTTCGGTTTTGTCTTGCAGCACCCTTGTGTGTATTTGGAAGATAAATTGCCTAGAAAAAGTGGACTTGTTTTACACGTAATACATATGATGGTACACTATAAAATTATGGGATTGTATATAATGAGACCATTTACCTTCAATACAATGAAGACACAATTACTTACAACCACCCGATGTAAAATCTGATAGCTTCGATGTGTCACAAAATTTGAGATTTTTTTTTTTTGAAGTTTGAACTTGATCAATAAATAAATAAATGCAGCCATCTAATTTCACATCCAATGGTCAAGATTAATTGTAACCAATTTCTGGTAAAGATAAACAGTCTTATTGTATACTTTTCTTAAAAATATTTATCTTTAGTATAAAGAGGTCACAATGTCTCTTAGTTATTGGATGTGAAATTTATCATATAAAAATATCCCACACCAATTAATTATCAAGAAAAAAAAAGATTTGACCCCAATTAATACAAAAAAGCTTCGACGATGATGATAATAATGATGATGATCAAATTATCTCACATGATAAATTTATTTTGGATTTTGTAGCTTATGACCTACAATAACCTTTTTCTAAATTTACATGGGTCGTTGTGGGCACTATACCTCGAATATTAGAATTAGAAAAAGTATATCCACTACGTCATGGTGACGGTTGAAGGGTGCCCAACCCCTCTGTCAACCCTTTCGATTAATCTAAAGGGTTTTGGTTATATTTGAAAAAAGCGATCACGATTATACCAATAAAAAAAAATAAAAAATAAAAACAAGGCTTTAGTTATGTTTGATGTTTTAATTTGAAGTGATTGATCCATAATGAATGTGAGTATTTCTCAATAAAGCGCAACTTGAAAAATATATAGAACAAATAATATTAAAAAAATAATTTAACCAAAATACCCTTGAAACATCTAGAAGCATTGTGGTTAACTTATTTTAAAAAAATATTCTTCTATATCTTTTCAAGTGCATCTAAGTGTGGTGCACAGCATAATCGTCAAGATTGGACTGATCTAGTAGTCCGACTGGTCAGATTGCTTACTGGTGCTTTGGTTGTTTTGACTAAAGGTAAAAATTAGGTTTGGTCGTAAATCAAATAAAATTAATATTTAATTAGTTTTGAAAATTTGGACTAGCTGGTTTTGATCTGTTCTACTAACTAAATGAAACTGGGTAAAAAAATTTAATATATTTTATTTCTTTTAACTAGTATACCTATTTTTTTTTTTTTTTTTCTAAAATCCGGTCCAACCAATTTGACTAGTAGTCGGATTAATTATTTATTGGATCAAACCCCTCATTGGTTTGGTGGCTAGTCCAATCTTGGCACTCAAACACCATTTTATGTCAATCCAATTCATTAAAAAAAAATCACAACTTAAACAATCATGGACATCCTTTCTTCTTTTATAATTTTGATCACACCATTTTGGGTATACACACATGAAAGTGGATGCTACCTGCTAATGTGAAAACTACAAATCTGGTTATGCAAATGAGGTCATCTTCTGAAAATTTAATTAGAGATGAAAATAGAATTTGAAAGTTTTGCTTGAGATCTATGATTTTGGAGCTCAAAAAATAATATAAATCTGACAAATTACAAAAAATTGAATTGAACAATCCAAAAATAAAATTCAAGACCATTTTGTAAAATTTTAAATCTAAAATTTATCTCTAAGATAAATTTTTAGGGAGGTCACATATGACCAAGGTTGGTTTCATTGTTCGTAAAACCGCCCGATCTAACCGCTAACTATCGGGTTAGATCGGAACCGGCCAATGGCCGGTTTTTATTTTGGGCAGTTAGGGTGATCAACCTGTATTTAAAAAAAACTTAAAATATATATATATAAATTCTCAAAAATAAGAAATTTGATTTATAATGAAATTTTAAATATTCTTTACATTATGGTAAAGATTAAAAATTGTTTTGGTCATTAATACTCACTTTTATATTTTTCCATCTTTTTTTAGAAAATTTTAAAAATAGCCATTGAAAAATATAAAATGGGTTAAAATCCATTTTTTTCATTAATTTTAAACTTCGTTTGAATGTGTTTTGTTTTAATAATTATTTATATGCTTTTCATATTTTAGTAGATTTTTTTTTGTATTTTATTTTTTATTTTTTTCAACACTTTTTTGACCGCCGGGGACTTGCCCGATTAGAGCGATTGAATCGGCCGGTTAAACCGTGTCCAGGCCCATGTCCGGTTAACCGTTCCAGTTTCATTTTACGAACACTGATTGAAGCTCTATCCATTAATCATTCGGTAGAGGAAAAGGAACACAGAAAAAGGCAAGAAATGTGATGGAAGAAAAAGAAAAATGAACATTCTTGGCCGAATCCAATCTTATGGTGAAAACTAACATTTAATGAAGAAAATAACATAACATAAGCCTCACAAATTAAATGAACGCTTGAATTTCCTTGATAGGAATTATTTACATTTTACAAATTAGGGCTTCTCTCAGACCCACAAAAACAATCTCAAACCTTTTGATGGAAATCAATTTCCTGGAACACCTCCCTGCCATTCTGCAGGAAAGGGAAAGGCCTTCTTTGGCCATCTTTTAACCAAAATAATAAAACAAACAAACTTTTCCTTTTCCTTTTTCTTTAGCAAGGAAGAAGGTCCTTTGGAGGTGAAACAACCGATTGTTGGGGCCCCTTTCCATCCTCCACCACGAACGCCATCTTCAATCCCCAAGTAGTGTGAACCTCTAGGTGACAATGCATGAACCACACACCTGAAAATCATAGCATTTGTTACATCTCCCCAAACCTCCTTTCTCTTTTAGTTTTGAATCCATAATTTGCATCAGTTTTTCCATAAGTACTTAGTTTTCTTTATAGAAGTTCCTTAAGTAAACCTTTATTTTGCACTAGAAATACTCTCACACATGTCTAACTTGCATGCATCATGGATATCATCATGCATATGTAAGGGTGGCAATGAGCGGCTCGGCCTGGCCCCAAAAAAGTGGGGCTTGGGCCACAAACTGTGGCCCTAGGGCTGGGCTAGGCCCTTTGCTGAACGGACCCGGCCCTCTTTTATGCTTTTTTTTTTTGTTTATTTTTTCTTGATTTGATTTTGGCCCAGCTCTAACAGGGCCAAGTCCGGTACTTGCCTGTACTATGGGGACAAGGGCCAAGGCTGGCCTGTTGCCGCCCTTATGCATATGTACACAAAGAAACAAAATCTTATACCGATATATACATATATTTGACCTTATGTATGTATTCACATATGGAAACAAAACAATTGAAAATAAGAAAAGATAACAAGATATATTAGTAGGAATAAATAAATGAAAAGAAGAAAAAAAAAAATTGAAGCATTTACCTGGATTGTCAGCCCTAAATCTGATGGCCGCCCAGCCTCCAGTTGGAACACCAACTGTGTTCCTCTCAGGAGGATCCACAAGGTTAAATTTGGCAGGGTCCTTGGCAGGATCAAAGTTCCCAACCCCTCTTCCAACCACAAAGAAGTTGAATCCATGGAGATGGAAGGGATGAGACTCCACAGTTAGCAAGTTTGTATCTTGAAGTACCAGCTCAACACTCGTGTTGAACTTAAGCTTGCTAAGCCTAGTACCAAGAGAGGTCCCGAGGTTTGCAGTAAGAGGAGCACCTGTGTAATTGAATGATTTCACCGGCCTATCCGGAAAATCAGTGGTGAAAACACCATTAATCTTAGAGTAATGAGCTTGAAGCAGCGCGGTTTGGGGCATAACAAAGGTAATATTGTTAATGGAAGCCGTAAACTGGGTTCCATTAAGGCAAGTAGAGCATGGGTTCTGGCCAAGCCCGATCGTGTAGAGGAGATGGCGGTCTACCTTTGGGGGCACATTTGCAGGGAACTGAGGTGAATTTAGGCTTCTCAAATTGTCATTGAAGATTTTCACGAAGTTTGTGTCATTAGACAATGGCAGTTGAGGCAATAAAGGTAGAACAGTGTTTGGAATTCCTTTATATTGGAAGATGGCCGTGGCCATTTTGTTGTCAATTGGTATGGGGACATCGATGAAGGGGCGAACGGCCATGAAGTAGCGACCGGGTGCCTGATTTGCCTTTACTAAGACATTGGTGGTTTGGCCAGGTGCAATGAGGAGGGCATTGGTGGAATAGGGTTTGCAATACACTGCATCAATCTCAACCACCGTCATGTTGTGGTTAGCTATCCCAAAGAAGAGCTCATCATTGAGGGCGGCGTTGATGATCCTCAGCAGGTATGTCTTGCCGAATTCGACCTCCATTACAAAGGTGTCTGCAAAAGTTAAAGAGTGGCCAATTTTAGAAGACTCTTTCTCGGCCCCCTGTTACTGTCTTCTAATGTTGTTTACTATTAGTCTATTACCATTGTTTTTCTTTTTTATGCTGGTTTTACTACTTGGATTCTTATTATTTGAGGATAGAATCCTAAACTTCGGGTGTCATATCAGTGATTTGGTAAAAACCAAGGCTTTCCTTTAAAATGTTTGTTGTGACTCTCATTTAATTTTTCTTCTTGTGTTGATTGTGTGTGTTGGCAGTTAAAAGGTGAAACATAGTTTTTGGAGGTGTCCTGAAATGCTCAAACCTTGATCATCTACAGATTTAAAATAAAATTTATAATCAATAGCTATAAACAATAGCATTCAGTAGTAGTACTATAAGAAGTTTCATATGTCCCTACGCTTCTCGGAACATGGGAAGAGTGGCCCCGGTTTCCCGTTAATGGTGTGAGCGTCAGAGCTTGGAGGCGGCACTCCCAGTTGGTTGGCCTGATTCACTACATTTTCCACGTCCGAGTTCCACCATTCTCCTGCAACATAACATACATAGAAAACCATTCACTGTTACATACTTCCTTCGCTATATTAATGGGTACAGTTTGTAAAACCACACTGAGAGACTGAACTTGGCCCATGCCCGAGCTGGGTAACTCGGGCTGAGTTGGGGGCCAAGTAAAAAAGTGTTAAGAAAATTAAAAATACAAAAAATACTAAAAATACTAAAAATAGTGAAAATTAGATTTTGAATAAATAAGTTTATAATTGAGGGCAATTTTTAAAAAATCCAAAAAGAAGGGAAAATTAAAAATAAGTCTTTGATGGCCAAAACACTTTTCAATCTGGTAGAAAATATAAAAAACATATTACAAATACATTTATTTTTTAAGATTTTAGTTTTTTTTTTTTTTTAATATCCCCTCGTCGGACTACCTAACTTAGGGATACTCAAACTCACCAGGGTGGTGAATCCGAGTTGGCTCGCTCAAATTTTTCTACAGTGCATGGTTACTATTTTCTACAAGCCTATACCAAATCAAACTCTTTATCTCTATATAGAGAGAGAGGAGGGGGAAGAGAGAGAGTTAAAAGAAACAAGGTTTTCGACTTTGTTACCTAAAACAAGATTCATCTCCAAATCAGGTTGTGTGAATGGATATGGTGTGCCGGGCTTCGGCATGATGACAATAGCACCATAAATGGTTGCTCTGAGCCAGAAAATGTGTGCGTGCCACCATAGGGTCCCTCTTTGGCCCGTAATATTGAAGTCGTAATTGTAAGTTTGGCCGCTCTGTATCGGGCATTGAGTTATGTAAGCTGGTCCATCAGCCCACCCATTTCTCAACTGCTTCACTCCATGCCTGCAAATCCACGGTTTAGACCCCATCAATCCTCTCTCTCTCAACATGCATTCAGAATGGACTTTCATAAACTTAAAGGTGAGATCTCTCTCTCTCATAAAACTTAGAAGTCATCTCTCTCTCAAGAGACGTTCATGAAACTTAAAAGTCATCTCTCTCTCAAGAGACTTTCATGAAACTTAAAAGTCATCTCTCTCACACTGCGTACTTCAAACTTTTCCCAACTTAAAGATTGAAGCTGGATGTGATTATAAGCATGAAGTGACTTGTTTTTGAGCCAAGGTTGCGGTGCTGTAATGTACCCCGGCTGGGGCAAAATGTAGCTGAAGGTTTGCAAAAGGTCTGAACCATGAAAGACAAACTCAAGCAGCCCTCAAAATTTTGTTGGAAGATGTAATTTTGGAATCTGGAATTTTTGAGATGGCCTGAAAATCTATTTTCACCTTTAATTATGAAAAATAAAATTTCAAAAATGGTGCAGATTAAGTGGATCTATAAACACCTGAAAACCTTTGATTTTTTGTATCATACATGTCGGGGTTTAGATGATCAATTGGAGGATTTTTTAGCATTGAAACAACCTTTTCAATAGATTTTTGAGTTTCTCCTCAATTCTAAGGTATAAGATTGAGAGCTTATATATACCAAACTATGAGGATACTTCATTATTGCCGGTTTTGTTAAGAAATTTGAATTTGCTAGATGAACAGTTAGAAAGAAAATAAAGAGAAAGGGAAGAAAGAGAAAGAATATGAGTTCTTAAAATCCTAGATCTTACAGTGTATTGGGCTATTTTGAGTGGCATTTCATCTTTTTCATATTTCTTGCTGGTTTGAGGGGAGATGATAGGGGACTTTTTGCATCTTTCTCATTTTTATTGCTGGGTTGAGGGGAGATGATACGGGACTTTTTGGGTTCTAACACATTCCTTGAGTGGGTCTTTGCCCCCAAGACTATGTAAATTTTAGTCCCGTGGGAGCATGGAATCTTTTCCCTTGGCCAATTGGAAAAATATATAAACAGATTATTTATATTTAGTACCTGGAGGTCAAAAATTAATGTTGACCATTGAATGTGAATTTTTTAGATTTATTTTATTTCATTTCATTGACTAGGCTTAAAGTTCAAAATAATTTTTTTTGGATTTTGTGAGATATCCAAACTATAAAATTTCACATTAAATAATTATAAGTAACTGTGATCTCCTTGTGCCAAAAGTAAATGGTAAAAGTAAATAGTATCATAGTAAACAGCTAATTTCATAAGAGCATGGTAATTGGAGATTTCAAAGTAAACAACCCTACTAAGGCAAAACCACTAACAAAGAAAGGTGATTTGATAATGCACGAGAAACTCTGAATTCATGCTGTCGTCTTCATTCACATCTTTGGCTCTCTTATATTCCAGGCACAAAGTATGTAATACATGCTTCTCGCAAACTAGTGGTGATACTATTCTCTCTTTGAAGTCATAAACAAAAAATTTAATTTGGAGATTATTATTCTTTATATATTATAATACATGTACACTGCTTTTGCTTTGGGGAAAAGAGAAAAAAATATTATTTGAAAATGGTATTGGAGAGAAAACAAGTAAAAATATTACTAGAATTGTTGGATACTGTCTAGTAATGGATCTAGATGTTCCATTTTTGCTCTTAACCTGGGATTAAAACCTTGGACAAGAGGAGGTTTATCTTGATATTTGGTGTTATATATGTGAGGGACCTAGAATACCTTGTGTGATTCTCTGTGTGCTTGTATTCAGAGAGAGAAAAAGAGGAAACATATGGTGAAAAGCAAATAAAAACCACAAATCCTTAAAAGCTGAAACTGAGAAATACTGCAGGTCAATCGGTACACTTCATTAGATTATACTTGGTGATATTAACTCTCTCTCACATTGCACCAGGAGGAAACTCAGGGGACATACTGGACATACAAGTAAAAAACTTTGAAAATGAAAGGGAATGTTTGAAAAAGAACTACGAATCATTGCGACACAGGGCTAATGAAAGTAGATGCTATGTTAATTATAATGGGAGACGATAGATGGGCAAAGAGAATAAGACGTACGTACCAATGAATGGTCAAATTGTATTGAGCATAATTGGTGACATTAACCACCACCCTGTCACCTTCTCTGGCATAGATAGTTGGCCCCGGAAACCTCCCATTCACTGTCACTATGGATTTTGCATGACACAACCTGCTTACATTCTTCACTTGCACCTAAAAAAACCACCAAATTCTGAATAAAAAAAGGAAATAAAACTAGCGACACCCGAAACGAGAACTACCATTCAATGAAAATAAAGAATATCTACAAATTAAATGAAAAAACTTTCTTGATAGGTTGATTATTCCTCACGTCGAACTTGTACTGCTTTGTAGCAGCCTCTGCCCCAAAAACTGAAAATCCAGCAAGAATCAACAAAAGCACTGTAGAGAGGGAACCCATGTTTAAAAGCCCGAGCACCACCTCTCTTTTCAGCACGATATTTAGATGATTCCGAAATCCTGTATGGATGAGAGGTGTTGCAGAAAAAGTTAGTATTTATACAAGTGAATTTGCTATCAGTTTGTTACAGAGAGAGAAAATGGTAAGAGGCATTAGGTAATGGATGTGAAGGCCTTCCCAATATCAAAGCTTGAAAGCAAGTGTCGACAGGGACTTCGACTTGTTTACGTAGACGGAAGGAGATCCAGTCTCTCTCTCTCTCTAACAGATAATATTGTATTTTTACACATGGATAACAGTGAGGCCCGTCTAAAGTTGTATGAAATTGGGGTTCGAGGGGTATGTGAAGCCTAACTCTTTGGAACTTTAGCTTTAAGAAAAAGGGAGGGATTTTTTTTTTCTAAACTTATTCTGGAGATTGGAAATGTGTAGTAGATTCCACGAGTATAAATTGGTGAAAACTATGAGTTAGTTTAAAGGATGGGCATTGCCTCTTGTGGAAATTTTTGGTGCTTTTCTTTATGGAATATCCCCACGAGAAGTAGTTTTAGACATTTGGGCTAGTAATGGGCTGGGTGGCCAGGCCCATCCCAATCAGCACAACCCTGAAAAAGTAGGGCCCGGCCCAAAAACTGTGGTCAGCGGGCAGGGACAAGGACACTACCAGCCTGGCACTAGTCTAACAAGGTGAGGGCGGGGCCTGGGTTTGAACCATAGTTAGCAAGCCGGGGGATAATAAAATATTGGCACACCAAAACATCGGCAACAAATAGATTTTATTTTAAAAAGTCGTAGTAAAAAATCGGTTAAAAATTACGGATCTCCAAAGAATAAGGTAAGCTATAGAATCGTGAATATTTCGGATTTGGTAAAATAAACGTAGTGAAAAATCAGATATGTAAAGATGATACAATATAGGATTATGATTTGCATCTATTGTATAGATATACTAAAGCCACTAAGCAATAATTTTATAGCCTTACTAGTGTCATTGGAATAATACTAAACACTTTTTTTGTTAAAATTTTAAATAAATCCAACAATAACGCTTACTTTGTTGTCACATCACAAAATATATCATAGACTATTACGAGTATAAAATGAAACAACAACAACAATATTAGACAAAAGAGCTCATTAGTAAATAACAAGAACTGTGAACCAAAGTATGTGATTATTTCTCAATATATATATATATATATATATATATATATATATATAACTAAACCTACAATATAGGTATTGACAACTTAAAATTAAAAAACGAACAACGAACCAAATATAGTAAATAGTGTACTCACTACCAAAGTC